TATATAATCCATATTTAGTTTAAAGTAAAATCAGCTTGTCTTCAAGTTTAAACAGCCCTGACCAGAATATATTTAAATACTGACTTGTCAAGCAATCTACTTCTCTTTTGGTCCTTATTACTTTCCACACTATTTCAGTCATTTAACATTTTCTCTCAATCTTTTTAAAAGTTCTAACGTTTGAAAACCTTCACATTAGTAATCGGTCTTGTCTATTACCATTGTTGAAATTAAATGCTAGACTTTTCTTTGTACAATTTATTTAATTTTATTTTTTGTTTGCACATTCACCCCTGGCCAAACTGTTTTTTTAATTTCTTCCTATATGATCTAAAATGTTTCACGTTAGGTGAATTTGTGATGTTTCTTTCTCTTGCATGTGTCTGTGTTGGGTTTATGATGGACCAGAGATCTAACCTCTCTTTTGCCCCTAACTGGGTTGGTGTTCAGTCAACCTACAAAAGTCTTATTATTGTATTCTCTCATAACATTTCTGTTATTGATTTTGTTTTTAAATCCCCTTACTAACCAAAATGGTAATATAAATGACTACTCTGCACCATAAATGAGCCCTAAAGGGACAAACTAACCCATTGTGTTCATAAACCCATCAATATTTAGCTCCGCAGTGTAAATCGAAATGGTTACACAATGAAAGCTCATTCCCCAAATCCCTTCCAGATTATTGGTGAGGAACATTTGGTGACACATTTGAACCTTCCTAGTGGAATACGATATGAAACGATGGATCATCTAACAGACCACACCCATTTTAAATTTCATTTGAAGGATATATAAAAGATAATATCTTTGAAAGTGACTTGAACAAGCCCTGAGTTTGTTCACATTTAGCTCTACTAAGCAATACAAATATAGATCTGGTTCAACAGGATGAGTGTRAAAATAATTTAATCCGTCATCTCTTTGATGTGAACTGATGCTCAGTCTTTGTCCACACTCAGAGGCTGTTGTCTGGGCTGGATTTACAGGCACCTGGGGGAACAGCATGCAATAAGCTTGAGCACTAATTAAAACACAGCAACATGCAATTACTCCACGACTTAATGGCTTCCACATCCAATTACTGGCAAGGACAGCATGTCAGTCCCTCTTAGCAAGAGTCTTTTATTAAAACATTCTCCTGTTCCTTTTTTTTTTGAAACCTAGAAGGAAAAAAATAAACAAATAAATAAACAAACTAATACAAATTTAATTCAGGTGACATCTTAATTTTATTACTTTATAATGTTTATGGTTTAATCAAGCTGCAGTATAGCAACTTTTGTTTCTTATGCAGAGCATGTTTATAGATTGCACCTCAATGATGGCACTTTTCAGCACTGGATTWTCAGAATAATTTTCAGCACAATTTAGCATTTTAAAAGCACAAATCACATTGCCTACACAACACAAGCAGAATAATCTGTAGGTAGATTGGAAATAATTACAAATATATGCATAATGTTTCCATAGTAGCAACACRATGTTTTATTAAAATGTAAAAGGCTGGTTTACGTGGGTTAATGCTGTGTGGCAGGCTTTAGAAAAAAGACTGCAGAGGCACCAGTTAATTGGTATTTATTTCTGTTATTCCAATGTAATAATAGCTAAGATTCTGTATGGTTTCAGACTTGCAAACTACGACTGTTTTATTATTAATGTTGACAAAAAGAATCCAGTTTTCTCTCTCTCTCCCTTGTGTAGAAAACCAAAGCTGCAACAGTGTTCAGAAAAAAAAAGTAGGAAATAAATCAGTTTAGACAGCGCAGCAGGAAATCCGAGACTGTTTCGTACATTAAAAAATAAAAGTAAACATTACTTTCAGCCCTGAGGGTAACTGCTGGTGAATTTTGTGTTTAAGTCTTCATACCATGCATGTGCCTTCAAAGCAAAACAATCAAGGAACAGAAAAATAATAAACTGATTGCCATGTTTTTATRGTCACCATGCAATAACAAATTATTGAAGGGCATCAAATTGTCCCTCTGCGTAAAGGCTACAGCCTGAATCCAGTGTTAAAATGAGAAAATGTGTTTTAAGATGTTTGTCTCTGAAGTGGCTACAAAAAAAAGATGTTTGTCTCTGCAGAGAAACCCACCACTGCAAACTGATAGATTACATCATGGAATAGAACTGAGTTTTGTTGGAGTCGTGCATTTTTTTAGCGATATTCTGCTTTAATGCAGAGCATTTTTATTAAAAAAATAACGTAATATCAGAGCTCTGCTCAGGGTTTTACAAAATATGTAGCTTTAGGTCACAGATATTTGTTTCAATCTGACCATCTGTGGCAATAAAACAACAGCTGTGAATGTGATGTAGCATAGAGACACTTTTAGGAASAGCGGGGTGCTGTTTCTTATGTTTTGTAGCAGCTGATCAGCACATCTGGGTTAAAGAAGGACTCATCTGAATTTCATGAGTCTGCAGGGGGGCCAGACTCGTGTTCAGCGCAGAGGCAGACGTAGAGGTACAGATTTTATTTCACTCACACCATTGCAAATTTGAGCCATAAAAACCTGGACWGCGTTTGATCTGCTCGAATCTATCTGAGGCTCGTTGGCCTTTTCTTGACCCTCCGAACTCCTTCTTTCCCTCATGGTCATCATGTTGGAGGGCGGCCATCTTAAGATGGAAAGAAGGGAGGGAGGTCTCAGTCTTCACTAACTAYATGGCCATGACACAGCACAATTTGTCACACCTAACAGGCTTTAATGGCTGCTGGGGAAGGGGATAATCAAGGGGAATGACAAGGGTAAATTGTGGTCCGCTGCACAGGATGGAGTATACGTAGGTTGTTTCATTACTCTACACAAAATGGTACTAAAATAACTGAAATAAGCATAAGTCATTGTGCGAGAGGTGGTGCAAACGACTTGCTTTTGGAGGTGATAGCTTAATCACAGTTTTCACATTTTAACATTCTGACTGGTAATAGCTGAAAATGAAGCCTTGTTTATATTCAGCTGCAGACAACTGCAGGCACTATGAACTTATTGCTGTTCTCTTAACACTGAAAAATTCAGAATAACATCAAAAAACACCGATGTGTCTTCAAGCTGACACCTGCAGCTCATAAAGAAACAAATCATATCCACCACAGAGTTTAATATCTTGGATGAGAATTTAGAAAAAAATACCCAGCAACACTTTCTCTCAACACTTTATGTRTGCATTATTTAGAAGCACTTTCCTTTGTTTTTACCACAAGTGAAAACTTTCACGGTATATTTTATTTTCTAAATTGGCTGCAAAGCATTTTTTTCCTCCATCAAGCTCAAACAGTGGTAAACACTTTGCTCCTATTAGGCGTTAACACACACTACAAAGTTTTATTGGTGTTTTTGCGTTCAAGGTTGTTTTGGAGAACAAGCAGCTGCCGTCCTTTCTCTCACACACAAAAACCACATGGACTTTTATTATCAGTTCCCCACTTTCAGGGCAACGTTACAACTCAAGAAAAGCTCCAATTATGGTGGCAGCTTTTCATTATCATCCCCAATTTTCCCACATTCAGCTGTGACTCAAGAAAAGGAAAATCTGGCGTATTGTTGTGTAGGCAGCTCAAACAGAGAAACACCAGCTGAAATAAAAGAGAAAAGCAATGTTGTTTTGTGTTTAAGACATTTTATGAACATTAGAAGACATTTTGCACATTTTGAAATTGGATTATTATTTTGCTGTGTATATGTGTTGAAGATGATGCTCAGCTACTGMCATCCAAATATTTAGCTCARTATCTGTAAAACTGGCTGAGTTGTAAACCTTTTTGTGATATAATCCATTTGCTGTGTAGGACTGTCTCAAAGTTATTTAGATGTAGATTTTTCTTCTCCTTGCAACCGATTTAAAGCTGCATGTCACCTACTGTAGGGGTGTAGTGTGTAACTTTACAGCGTGTCAGTGAAAAATAGATGCAAACTTGGATAAAATAAATAAATAAATAAATAAATAAATAAATAAATAAATAAATAAATAAATAAATAAATAAATAAATAAATAAATAAATAAATAGATAAATAAATAAATAATTCAGTATAAACGCTACTTAAGTATGGAGGACCGAATCTGACATAAATAAAAGCAAAAATATATAAATGGACCAATAAATAAATAAAGGCACTTAAGATCCACCAATTCAATTTAAAACGAAAACTTTTTTCTCATGTTTTATAATTTAATTGCCTTTCACAGTTATTTTTACAGCTTAGTTGCAATAAATTGTATTTTTACCACATTATTTAAAATTTCTTGTTTTTAAAAAAATATGTATTTTTTGTTTTTCCCTTTTACTTGTACATACTGTACATCTGTGTCTCTTAAATGACTATGATTATGTCTCCTGTATATACATTTCCTTATGCATTTCTGTCTCATAATGCAAATAAGGTGGGCAGTCCTTCCTGGGTCAGCTCCTCATCTATTGGTCAAACGTCAACAGACAGGAAGGAGCAGGATCCATGTGCAGATCTACTGTGCAGRCTTGTGCAGCCCCAGTTTAGCTCAGTTTAAGGTTTAGTTAAATACAGATGCAGGTAAGTGTTTTTCCTCCTTGCCTTTGTTGGTAGGTGAAACACACTTGTCGTWATCTTTTACCTTTTAAATTCATTCATGTTGTTTTATGAAATCCTAAATTCAAATTTATAGATGGTTCTCAAATGACGTAGTGACCTGCAGATCATGTGATCAAATCACCATATTCGTGGGCGCGAATGCGGAAGAGGGGGTAGTCTACAGAACAGAAAAGTATGCAGTATAAATTGTTTATGTAGTTTCTATTATAATTTGTTTTAGCAGACATGGAGCAAGTTTGCGTTGGAGTTGATTACAATACTGTGCTGCTCGTTCGGCAGAGAAATGCTTTAAAAAAACAAAAAAACAAAAAAACGGTGTGTTCATATCACTCCTACCATGGTTAGTGACCGCATAATGCGTTAATTGACTTTAAAAAGTAAAAGGTTGTGCACTATGAACAGAAAAGTGTTTTGAAAATTATGCAATCCACCCTTGTAAATGTGCATATAGGATACACTGACARCATCAGATTATAATCACAAAAAGCTCAGTGTTGTGCAGKATGGGTACATACTGCACATGGTGCGGGGATTAAAAAAGTCCCGAATGAGGACGTCATTGAGAACCATCTATTGGCCTCTGTTTCTTTTAGAACCTCCTACCATTTCTGACACTCCCACTTCAGCATGTCTGCAGAACAAATCTTTAGGGGATGGGTCCTCTGTATGAGTGGAGCTAAAGTGATTTAAAATATATTTTTTACATTAAATAACAGTAGAAACAGTTGAATGTCCCTGTTGTACATGGTTAGTCAATGATTACTTTCATGAAATTGCCAAACTGCCATTTGACTTCGGAGGTAGGCAATAAAAATGGGAGGTAAAATTTTCTAAAACAGCTAAAATGTTTCATGCTTTAATTCTTTTTGAACAATGGATACTTGCTTTAGTTTTCACTCTCTCTAAAACAAGTAAGTGCCCCGAAATACTCACAAATCTCTGAAATGACAGTCTATCAGACTGACCCAACATTTCATCAATAAATCAATGTTTCAGAGAGTTGTGTGCTAGGAGGATGTAAGGGCCAAACCTTTTTCAGAGCAGAGATGCTGATTTGTTTGCTTACCAACTAAAATCTACGCAAAGTCAAAACACACCATGACCAGTCTTAGTTTCTACACAAAAGTGCTGCAGATCCACCACACCATATGCTGCTGGTGTCAAATATCAGGGCCCAGCAGACCTTTGATACAGGAACACTCGGGCCAAGAAACGATCGATAAAGACACTGCTGGCCAGGCGATACAGAGATGGAGCCTGGCCCAGATACTATAAGCTTAAGTAATTTCACAGCTTCATTTTCCTTCAGCATTGAAAAAATAATCTATAATCTAAACTGTATAGAATGAATTAAGATGAAGTGTGTAAAATATAGTAGAACCTGCTGTGTGAGAGAARCAGAACTCAGAGAGAATCCCTGAGATACTTTATGTGATTAAAACAAATGTTTTCAGGAATTTAGGCTGGTAATTTAMAAAGAAAACTCTCAAAGTGGTGTCGGAATTGTGCATTTTTAAAAATATTTTCAGTGGAGATAGAGAGAGAGCGTGTCTTTGTCATCCTCACTCTGCCATCTGTGCAGAGGCTGCAGCAGTACAGCTCTGAGCTCAGACAGCCAATACAGAGAGACAGAAATGAAAAGAGAGGGTGGGGCTCTTCATGAAGGGGAGTCTGACGCAACGAATGGGAACGAAGGAGAGGTGTCCCTGGCTCAGAATGCCCTTGGCTGAGCACTGGGAGCTGGGAGAGAGGAGGCAGAGAGGAAGGAGAACTAAAGCTGGAACACACACACCAGCAGGTGCCGAGGAAGTCCGAAGGATAGAAATAAGTGTTTTAAAAATAAGCAAGGTGCTAAGGAAAAGGTGTCCTAAATGATCAAAATAAAAAGAGAATATAGTTAAAGTCTACCAGTTTTATTTTTTGGACAAAGCTGGAGTCAACGCTTGTCTTTTTTAAGCCACCCCCCCTCTTTACGGATTCTCCTTTCTTGTTCAGCTGCTGCTCTTCCTCTTTTTCCGCTGTCCTCTCTGATTGTCAGTGCCACCATGGAAACTGGGAGCCCCAGGAAGATCCAGTTCACCGTCCCCCTGCTGGACACCCACCTGGACCCAGAGGCAGCAGAGCAAGTAAGGAGGAGGGGATGGGGCTGGGAAGAAAAGGTTAAGATGAAGAGCAGGAGTTGTGGGCAGTTTGGGACCTTTTGGAGGTTTTATGCGTTATCTTTGGGAGAATAAAAAAGATTAAAGCATATTTAGAATTAAAAGAACAACAAAAAATAAACAATTTTACACTTGTTCTTGTGTCTGAGCACCTCAGCATTTAAAGAAACCATTACTCCATCATTTTAATACTTTAGGTATGTTGTATCTTGACTGCAGAGCACTTGAGCGCTGAATGATTTTCAAATTGATTTTTCCACCTCCTCAGTATTTCAGTTATGTTAAAATGTGATGTGGCTGTTCTAATGTGTCTCCAGGGCTTTACACTGGAGTATTTTCTCACTCCCATCCTTAACCTCTAAAACACTTTTCATTGCTGTTATTAAAATGATCTTTTACATCAATGTAACTGTTAAACCATGGCTTTACTTACACCAAATTATCACRTTTTTTTAAATAAAAAAGTAGAACAATGCGAGATAGCTTTTTTTTCAAACTGATCCCTGTTTCATGAGAGCAGGAAACTCTTAAGTCAGTAAAAAAGCCTGACTGTGTTCAGTTCTTGTGCTTGTGGAGAATATGGTGTGAAAATGTGCCACGTTTTTATTCACTTTATAAATGTAAAAAGACCAGGACAGATCACTTATAATGAACTTTGAATGCAGATAGCAAGGAGTCTGCTACAACTCACCTGCTTCCCTTCCTTTTATTTATTGTTTTTATTTTTGCACATCTTTTTCCTGTTTCCTTTTTCCTCAATTTGACTGAGAAACTCGGGAAAGTGAAGACYGCTTAATGGAGGTATCTGAGTTTGTCCTTGTGAGGAGATCTTCTGAAATAGCTTTTCTTTTTTTTYYTTTTTTTTTTTGTTAAGTTAAAGTTAAAACAGACAGAACTACTGGGACATTTTGTCACATGAAATCAGTGTTATTAATCTACAATTATCTACATAAAGGGCTTGCAGAATAAAAAAAAGTTTTATACAGTTTTAGAGAAGGGAAATGTTTCACCTGATTCCCCCTCCCCATTTTTTTCTATAAATATCAAATAGTTTTTTTTTATATCTGACCTGTCATGATGTATTTATACAGCTGTTTTCAGTCTGAGCAGCACACAATAACCTCATGTAATCATCATTCTCACATGTCTGATATAATATCAGAGGTTTCCCAAGAGATCAAAGTAATGGTTTTCTTCTTATGGTCAGTGCATTTACTCTCACTTCACATTTGCTTCAAGTGAAATATGTCTTTCACTGAATTATGAGCATTGAGATTTATGTTTGCCTCATGGTAACACAACATATATTTTATTGTAGTCAAAGCATCAACATCTTAAAAGTTAAGATTGGTTTTACAGTCTAATATAAAGTAGGATAATGAATCAAATAAAGATTTAATTAGGTTACTGATACAAAACTTCAGTGTCAGCAATTCTTTTCATTAACATTTAAAACTGTAATTTGGGTTTAGTTTGATACAAGTAGAATAACTGAAGGACTTGACAGCTTTTCCACCTTTCAAAAGGACATCACAATAGCTGGCTCATTGGGGACCCTTGTTTTGTTTCAGCTCGTTTTTTCCCCCTCACAGTTATTACAATTTGTCACTCACTGCAGGAACGGCAAGTGTTTCAAAACCTAATAAAAAGCCAAACAGAGTCATTCAAATTGTCTGAGCCTGTGCATGAATGATGTTCTAAGGCTAAAAGCTAAAAGTAGCAAAAAGGTGTCTTCACAATTAAACCAACAACAACAACAAAAAAATTTAAATGATGGATGATCCAGCAGTCTGGATTGCTCTCTTTATAAATAGCAACATAATCTTTTGTAATTTATATCTTAATCTCCAAGGCAAACTTGAGACACATTATTACAGAAACATGTTACATCAGTGATAGATGATTTAGCTCCAAACCTTTTTCTCTGGGTTGTTCTAACAACACATGAAACCTCAGTTACATCTGCAGTCACCAAAGTTTCAGGATTCATTAATAATGGAAACGAGCTAAAATAACTCCAGATGTTAATATCTGTATTTATATTATCACCTTGAAGTGTTCTTCACCTCATTTCTGAGCGAAGTTTAGAAATGCACTTTATTTTTTCCTGAGGCTAAAACAACGCGCCTTGTGTCAAAACACCTAACAACAAAATAAGCTTGGCTGAAAAACAAAAACACATTTTTTTTAATAATGGAAGCAAGAACAGAAATACATCACAAACTGACTGGCAGTAAATGCTATGCCCCACCCACAGCATATATGCAGCTAAGTGGTTCATACCTCATCGATATTTTCTTTTGTTTGTTTTTTAATAAACGAAAGGCTCCTAACCTGACAAGTTATGTCTGTTCATACAACCGTTCTATAATTCACCCGGACACTGAGGCTGAGAAATGGGGCAGCACATGTTGCTGCCTTTTGATTTAGGAACAAGGATGGGAGCTAGCATTGAAAATCAAAGAGACGCACAGATTCAACGGTGTTACACATTTCTTTTTTTCTTTTCTTAGGCCCTCAAAGGCATTCGATGTGTTGTCACTTGGGATTTAACAGTCTCGAAAATGTGTGCAGATATATTCTGTCTTTAAAGGGAGTCATAATAACCTTCACAGTGGTACTGATTCACATTAACATGTTAGTGATGAACTGCAGAATCAGATAGAAAGAAAAAACATCTTCAATGTCAACTTTTTCTCTCTAGCACATTTAGAACAAGGTTGACCAAAGTTCTTCTTAAGCCGATTCAAGCTAGCAAAAATACACCAACAACCAAATAAAAATGAAYACGTTGCCAGTGTAAATCTGTGGCAAAACTAGTGGTCATATCTGTTAATTAACTAACTGTTCAAGAGCAAATTATAGAGCCACAGTATTCCAGTCTAGCTGTGATGACAACGAAAAGAGTTTGAGGTTATGAGGAGGAATGTAAGATTTTGCTTCAGTGTTTTGATGTAACTGAAAAAAACTGTTTTTGTGGCAACTGTGGGCAGTTTTCATCATCATGCATCAGGTCTGGATTAAGTTATTGCTTTTGACTCCTGGCTCAAAGTCAACATGGCTGCTTTTGATGTGAAGTACTGTCTTCAGGTGTTATCACGTGGAGTCCTCAAAAATGTTAACTATAATTGATCAAAGAAGAGAAAGAAGGTGGGATTTTTCTTTTTTTTTWAATTTCCTAGAAAATAAATCATGCTTCTGATGAATGACAGGTGGTTAGTAGCAGACCAGTTCTTGAAATCAAAGAAAGTTTATTTGATTGTTTCAGGTTTTAGATGTCTGGAAGGTTTTATTGTCTTATAACTATCAACCACGCTTTATCTTTGAAGGGGT